AGCTTATAATTTCTTATAACAAGGTCAGCTTGAATACTATCAAGGGCCTTCTTTGGAGCAATATGCTCAACAACTGGCAGCAAAAATGGAACAGCAATGAGGGTAAAATTACTTACAAATTTTTTCCAATCATTAAAGATATCTTTAAATACACATGGATGAAACCATGTTTTTGGTCCACTCAATTTTTCACCGATCATGGTAAATTTGCCAAGTACCTACACAGATTTACTGAATACATCAATAAAGAATGTCCAACTTGTAAAATTGAAGATGGGAGCACTCATTATATCTTCAACTGCGTAATGCTTGAAAGAGAAAGACAACAACTCAAATCTATCCTCATTAGCCGTGGTTACTCTTGGCCATGCTCTCATAATGACCTTGTGAACAATAATGGAATATTTATTTATTTTTATAATATAATTAAAAGCTACGGCAAAATCGTAAATATCCATACTTAACTCCTTCATAAAGCCTCCCAGCACTCTACATAGATATTACATTGAATCTCAACACAGAAATGAAGATGCGATTGGGCTCTTCTAGTGGGAGAATGTTCCTATAGTGGTCTGCAACAGTACCGAATCTTTGCAAGAATTTTAGTGTATTAAAGAGATATAANTTAATACATGTTATAAAAATAAACAAATAATAATAAAATGACTCAAAAATGAAATTTTATTTCATTAATATCAGTACGATATAACAAATATAAGAAAACTACGAATAATCTTCTTCGACTTAGTGTTAAAATTAGGCTACATGTAGGGAAACACCAAAAATTTTTTTGAGATAAGATACTGTATACAATTTTAGTAATTTTTACTGCATATTCAAATATGACAAACATCGTGTCATTCTAAGGTGCATGTTTGGTTTTTTAATTTTTTTTCCTTATGCATCTAATTAAGTTACATTTATCTACATAACCTTTGAAATCTTGTCACTTTGGTACCTTATGATTTTATTATATTTTGAAAATTAGTTGTCCACAATTAATTAGTCAGACGGATGAAAGTTTCTTTCGTGTGCTTTAAGCGAATCGTCGTCTAAAAATTGTTCACGACAGAACGGACATTGCAATTTAATTTCTTCAACGTCCATTTCTGGGAAGAATGTCACTTGTGAGGAGCCTTTCAATTTGATAATTTCTAAATTCACGTTAACATTTTCAAGAAATTCTTCACATTCTTGTAAAGTAAAAAGGTTTTCCTCTGATGAAATATCTTCAGATTCAATTGACTGTGGTCTTTGAAAACTTGTTGATGGTTGTTCAAATGATTCTTTCTGCTCTCTTTGAACGTCTTGCGTTCTTTTCTAAAAGTAAATAACATAAATAATATGACTGTACACCATTTACTATAACGGAAATTGCAAAAAATTTGTCTATATAGTCATATACATGGTATTTGTAATGCTAAAAGAGTTAACAATGTTTTTAAGCAAATTAAAAAGAAATATTCTACAATGTTATTAAAATTTGAAAATTCACAATTTTAACAAACTATGAGTAATTAGTAACCTTCAAAATAATCGGTAAACAAATATAAATGTTTTTCGCTAAAGTAATGTTATCAATGCAAATTTTGTCAAAGAACAACAACTTAAAATAAAACAATATAATCACGAGTGAGATACAGCAGTTGTTAATTTCTGTGAAAACAATGAAGTCATATTTTTAATTATTCGATAGATATTTGTGTAAATCCACGAAACAAAGACTTTCACACATCAAAGTAAATTTCCCTATACGTATATAGTTGAATTTGTATTTGAGTGTATATTTCTTCATAATTATTGAATAGAAAAACAAACGAAATTCGATGTGCATAAATTGTTTTTTAATCGTAACGAATCAAAATGAAGTTCATTCGTGAAAATATCGATTTTCTGAAGTAGAATTGTATATAAAATCTTGTAGTTTAAAGAGTTAATTCTAATGTCTCATCCTGGATACATAAAATGGCGTTTTTTCCGGCTGCTTATCGTAAGACTCATAGTTTATACAAAAAGTATTTAGTGTGCACGTATTAATGGCTGATATTAGACGAATAATTCGGAATCGTTGTATATTTTTAATACAGGAATTTTCCTGTTAATTAAAAAAACTTATTTTCTCGGAGTATCGAATGAATGAAAATACACGTATTTAGAATATATGCGATGAATGAACATCAAAACAATGTGTGCTCGTTAAATAAGCAAAGTTATTATTTTATTGTTTTTACTCTAACATACGATTGTGTGTTAAAAGTTTAGTCATTAACATATTTATATACTTACTTCGGAGAAAGATGGAGTTTCCTCTTTAGAATGGATCCTTTTGATGTGATTGTTTAAATTACTTTTGGTAGTAAAAGTGCCGTTGCAAAAATTACACGGAAATGGATGCTCTCCAGTGTGAGTTCTCAAGTGAATTTTTAACTCACTGGGAGACGGACAAACTTTCGAGCAGAAGTTACATTTACGGCTTATTATCCTCGGATCGTTCGGTGAAATCTAATTATTCAACAAATATTTTGTTAATTGTTAACAATATATATAAACATAAAACTTAACATTCAAATGCAAATTATTCATGGAAAATATATTGGGGAACGTTTCAAAACGTTAATTTTTACGATTTATTTTATTGTGATGGTGATGTAATTAAAGGTGAAAGGTTTTGTTAATGTTTTATTAAACTATGTGTATAAAAAATTATTTTATAAAGATAGAGTTAACGACGTGCTGCAGAATTATTTGCTTAAATCTTTTTAATGACACTAGCAATTAGGCACAGTCGAACAACTGTTTTTGGAAGTCTTTTCGACTGTAATCTGAATCAAATCTTAAAAAAATAATAATATTTTATAATTTTAACACTGACTTAATAATACAATGAACAATAAAGAGACTTTTTCTGTTATTTCTACTTTATAAAATGCAAATACTTAATTAGAAAATAACACTACGAAGATGTATCTTGTATTTATCAATAAAAATATGATTTACAAGAGTAATAACTGTAAAAAAAATTTTAATAATTAAACATTGTTGTAATTAAAATATTATGGGAGATCGGGGCAAGATCGGCATGTTAAGCTTTACTTAAATTTTGTGTAATAAATACTGTTGTAAACTGAAAAAAAAGCTTTGCATATTGTCTATTGGAATGTTACCTTACTATAGAACTGGTTAAAATCAGTTTGGAAATAAAAATAATTAAAATAATTACAACTTTACAAGAAGAGAGAAATTGACGAAGTTGCCCCGGGTATAGGGGCAAGATCGGCAACTTCTCTCTTTTTGTAAAGTTGTAATTATTTTAATTATTTTTATTAAAGTTGCCCCTGGTATAGGGGCAACAGTAATGGGGCAAGATAGGCACGTATATAAAATTATGTTATTAACAATGTATAAGTTGGAATTCACTATTAAAACAAAGAAATACAAATCCAACACCCATTTAATATTATTACAACGAAATGCAAGTTCAAAGACATATATACATGAATAACAAATGCAAACATGTTTTCATTTATCATCTGTTTGATTTTTATCCTTTGCTTCTAATGTGGCTTTATGTTGCCGATCTTACCCCGCTAGTCATGATTTCGAAACATTAAGTACAACCCTGAGAACAGAATGCCAAGCCACGATCTGGCCACGTGAATAAGTTGAAGTTACATCCTTCTAACAGGAAAAGTAACTTTCGTTATCATGGAATTATAACAAAACCTGCCAATTCAATATAAATGGAAAAAAAATATTATATGGAATTGAACGAAAATGAAAATTTGCTTGATAATTCAACTACGCTTGTTGGAGAACAATAAAAACACTACACTCAACAAGCCACCAATAAAACTCAACTGCCTAACCTATAACCAAAGTCTCCTTTTAATTTGTTTTTAAAAAAAAGCGCTTGACAAACTTGCCCCGCATGCCGAAGTTGCCCCGATCTCTCCTATATTATTAACATTCATTATAGATTTTTAATTACACTAACGAATTTATTATGGATAACGTCTATCCTATTTTATAAATGTTTATGAGTGATTAATTGGCAAAGATTAATTAAATACAGAAAACCACTTTTCGTAGACAAATACAAACAAATTTAATCAATTTAAAATTTTTGAACGAAGGTAAAAACCAATAAAAAAATAACGAAAACTTTTCAGCTCCAAAAAACAATAACGATATTTATAGTTGCTTATTAATATTATTATGTTATTATTTGTTCGTGTAAATTGCATTGAGTATTGTTTAAAATATTCATTGAATGTTTTAAATTATCTTGTATATTTACATTGTGTCTTATTATTTTATAACTTTTATCGCTTTGATAATTGGAAAATAAAAACAAAAATGAAAACATAGGAACTCGTGGTAATATTTACTTTAGATAAAATCTCGTCAAGATGCCATCCGTATATGTGTCGTTCCAAATCGTATTTTCGTTTAAAGCTGTGTTTACAGTCTTCGTAATTGCACTTAAATGGTTTTTCATCCGAATGTACAAGCATATGTTTTGTCAAATTGCCTTTATCCATAAAGCTTTTTTCGCACAAATTGCACTTAAACGGCCTTTCGCCCGTGTGACTACGCATATGTCTTTGCAAACGACATTTATGGAAATATTTCTTTTCGCATGTCGGGCATTGATAATCTCTGTCCTTTTAAAATAATTCGTAGTATGAATATAAATAATTGGAGAAAAANAGCTTCTGTATTGGAGAATCGCATGTGAGGAAACTAATAGTGTAACGCTATATTTTCTATTTTTTTAACTTATTTTTGAATTGTTGTTATTTTATTTTTTCTCCTCTATACTCAGGAGTAGTAAAAGCGCAGTTTCATAATCTATATCTATATATATATATATATAAACATAGACATGTATGTCCCTATATTTCACTTTTCCACAAAAACTACACATCGCACGTGAATGGTGTTTGTATGTGGTGGTAGCCCCAAGTCTCCATTCGTGCATAGGGGTGGTGCGTCTCGATAGCTATAAGGGTGCGGGAGATATGGGCTTAAAAGTGGTTGAAAGTAGCTTTCTATTTCGAAGGTTTTGTTCGAATTTGTTCGAATTTAATTCGAATAATGTTCGAATTTGTTCGAAAAAATTCGAACAATATTCGAATTAAATTCAAATATAAAATTCGAATATTGGTTCGATTATAGAACGATCGTAAACGTTCCGGAAACGTTGAAAATAGTTCTTTTGACTGGACGTGAATAGGAGACGTTTAGAATTAGAATCGGGACCAGGAAGTGTTAATGTAAAGCGGCATGCAAGATTTACAGGCGGTTTTTTGCGCTTTTGCGGGAAATCGAACATATTTTTATGCTCATGTAAAAATTCTCTGGAAACGTCTGGAAACGGGAGACCTAATTTTTGCATTTTGTGAAAACGGGTAAGATTGGCTATAATGTAATTATCTTAATCTTCACTATCGTTACTTTTTGCCCACAAATAAAAACCCAGCGAAGCGGGTCCTTGCAGCTAGTACTCAATAAAAATGTTTGAGTTTAAACGAATGGGAAAGCCTACATTTTTCGGGTATTTGAACTGCCCAAATAACGAACGTATTCAAAATTATCTTTTCACTTCTATTGTTTAAAATTATTAATATTATTATTATTTATTTATGACATTGTGAACATAAGCATATTACAAGTGTCTATGCAAAATATAAATACACTATAACAAACACACAAGAAAAATAATGACAATAAAACAAAAATAAAACAATCAACATACAAAGTCGAACAAGATTCAAGCTTCTGACACCATCTTTAAATTGTTTACAACACTGTGGCCTTAAGCGATTACAAGTGTCTAAGCAAAATATAAATAAACTATAACAAACATACAAGAAAAATAATGACAATAAAACAAAAATAAAACAATCAACATACAAAGTCGAACATTATTCAAGCTTCTGATACTATCTATAAATTGTTTGTAGGTTTACTCACGTGTATGTTCTTCTTATAAACAATTTTGATTGTGTAGCATTTGGTAGTTCGAAATGGTTCGGTGGAAACAGTGTTCGAATGTTAGCAGTATCAGATTATTTCTCCATGTGTAGTTGTTTTTATATGATCGGTAGTATTTTTTAACAGATTACTAATAAAAGATCATTTCTTATAAAGTTTTATTAATTTGAAACGATCTAGAAGCAATTGGTCTTTATATAATACATACTCTGTGGATGTTGTCGTCGTTTTAAGTATAACGCGACGGTAAAATTGTAAGGTAGTTTACTTATGCTCTGATGAGATTGTCTTGTGATTTTAAGCGGTGTGAAGCTTTACCCCATATGGTAGTACCATAATATAATATAGGTTACGTACATCTCTATCCAAAGTCAGGGCTGACAATACCTGTTGGTCGTATGTAAATCTTTCACGAGCGGTTGCTTACGATATAAGTTGAGTTCGATATGGAGCAGAAGTCTACAGACAGCGTTCCGAAAATAATGCACTCTAGTATCATAATAACAATTTAATTAATAAAAGTTATATCGACTTTACAAGAGTGTAACATAAATAGAAAAGTCTATTTTAGAAAAACCTGAAACAGTGATGAGCGATGCGTGTGGATAAATACCTGTTCGGTGATTGTCGATGAACAGTGGTCGGCTTTGAGGTTGGAAGTATAGTTTTTATGCTGGATCTTAAATTCAAAAGTTGATAATAGTAATATTCACTATGCGGTTAGTTCAATGATTTGTTATTTCGGAGTAGCAAAGAACCAGTGGAAATGGGGAAATGGAGAAAATTCAAGAATATCGGCGTGGAGCATAAAGGGGTTAAGCCGGTTTAATTAAGGGTAACTGGCCTTTATTTAAATGTTACAGATGGAAAAATAACCTGTTACTGTTAACATTCAAACATAGTTTCGGCCGAGCCATGCCGATCTACCAAATGCTATACAATTGGAATTGACTAAATAAAGAACACAAACGTGAGTAAACTTACAAACAATTTAAAGATGGTGTCAGAAGCTTGAATCTTGTTCGACTTTGTATGTTGATTGTTTTATTTTTGTTTTATTGTCATTATTTTTCTTGTGTGTTTGTTATAGTGTATTTATATTTTGCATAGACACTTGTAATATGCTTATGTTCACAATGTCATAAATAAATAATAATAATATTAATAATTTTAAACAATAGAAGTGAAAAGATAATTTTGAATACGTTCGTTATTTCGGCAGTTCAAATACCCGAAAAATGTAGGCTTTCCCATTCGTTTAAACTCAAACATTTTTATTGAGTACTAGCTGCAAGGACCCGCTTCGCTGGGTTTTTATTTGTGGGCAAAAAGTAATGATTGTGAAGATTAAGATAATTACATTATAGCCAATCTTACCCGTTTTCACAAAATGCAAAAATTAGGTCTCCCGTTTCCAGACGTTTCCAGAGAATTTTTACATGAGCATAAAAATATGTTCGATTTCCCGCAAAAGCGCAAAAAAACCGCCTGTAAATCTTGCATGCCGCTTTACATTAACACTTCCTGGTCCCGATTCTAATTCTAAACGTCTCCTATTCACGTCCAGTCAAAAGAACTATTTTCAACGTTTCCGGAACGTTTACGATCGTTCTATAATCGAACCAATATTCGAATTTTATATTTGAATTTAATTCGAATATTGTTCGAATTTTTTCGAACAAATTCGAACATTATTCGAATTAAATTCGAACAAATTCGAACAAAACCTTCGAAATAGAAAGCTACTTTCAACCACTTTTAAGCCCATATCTCCCGCACCCTTATAGCTATCGAGACGCACCACCCCTATGCACGAATGGAGACTTGGGGCTACCACTACATACAAACACCATTCACGTGCGATGTGTAGTTTTTGTGGAAAAGTGAAATATAGGGACATACATGTCTATGTTTATATATATATATATATAGATATAGATTATGAAACTGCGCTTTTACTACTCCTGAGTATAGAGGAGAAAAAATAAAATAACAACAATTCAAAAATAAGTTAAAAAAATAGAAAATATAGCGTTACACTATTAGTTTCCTCACATGCGATTCTCCAATACAGAAGCTATTACATCGTTCTGTTTTCGAATTATTTTTAGGTTCAGAGACATGCGCAATTAAGCATGCTTAATATTATCAAAACATAACAATCAAAAATACCATTATTTCGGTGAATTGTTGTTTTTCGTTTTAACAAAATTTTGCCTTGAAATTAATAAACTGAATATAATTAATAAATTAAAATAACTAAACTCATGATAAGTGAAATCTTTCATTACATTTATATTAATACATTTTTAATTTTCGAAAATGTTTAATTAAAAACTCACAAAATGACATAAACTTTATAGTTTAATTTTATATTGAAGATAGAGCATATATAAAAATATTAGTATAATATTGTAATATATAACAGTGATTTATATTATCGTGAATAATTTTAATTTAACTTTTACACAGATTATTTATTGTTATTAAACGAATTATTTTAAAAGGACCGAAAACATCAATGTAATATATAACAGTGATTTATATTATCGTGAATAATTTTAATTTAACTTTTACACAGATTATTTATTGTTATTAAACGAATTATTTTAAAAGGAACGAAAACATCAATGCCCGACATGCGGCAAGAAGTGTCTTCGTAAAGGCGAATTGGAAACACACATTCGAACTCATACGGGCGAAAAGCTGTTTAAATGCAATTTGTGCCAAAAGAGTTTTTCGGATAAGAGCAATTTGACAAAGCATGTGATTGCACATTCGGATGAAAAGCCATTCAAATGCAATTACAATAGCTGTAAAAATAGTTTTAAACGAAAAAAAGACTTGAAACAACACATGTACGCACTTCACCTGATGAGATTTTATCTAAAGAAAATATTTTCACGAGTTTCTATATTTTTAATTTCGTTTTTATTTTTCAATTATTAAAGCGATAAAAGTTATAAAATAAACAGACACAATATAATTGTGCAGGATAATATAATACATTCAATTAATATTTCAAACAATACTCGATCAACTGTGTGAATTTACACAAACCAATATTTAAATAATAATAGTAATAAACAACTGTAAATATTATTATTGTTCTTTTTGCGCTGGAAAATTTTCGTAGTTTTTTATTGGTTCGTTCAAAAATTTTAAAATAATTACGTTTCTTTGTAACCCGTTCTCTGTATTTAACCTTTGCCAATTAATCACTTATAAACATTTATAAAATGGGATAAACCTTATCCATAATAAATTCGTCAGTGTAACTAATAACCTATGATAAATGTAAATAATATAAAATTTAAATTACAACAATGTTAAATTATTGAGCGAATCATTCCACACAATTATTACTCATATAATTGATATTTCTATTAATAAAAACAAGATACATCTTCGTATTGTTATTATCTAATTTATTATTTGCATTTTATAAGGTAAAAACATCAGAAAAGCTTTTTTTATTCTTCACCGTGTTATTAAATCAGTGTTAAAATTAAAAATTATGTTATTACAGTAACATTTTAAGATTAAATTCAGATTACATTCTAGAAAAATGTCTAAAAACAATTTGAATGTGCGTAATTGCTAGTGTCAATAAGAACATGTAAGCAAATTACTCTGCAGCACCTCGTTAGCTCTATTTTTATAAAATAATTTTCTTATACACATATTTTAATAAAACTTGAACAAAATCGTTTACTATTAACTCCAACATCATCACAACGAAATATAATGTGGAAATTATTTGCAAACTGTTTTATATAAACTTGTGATGAACTTCTTGCGTTTAAAAAGTTACGTTTTATGTTTTATATATTGTTAACAATTAACAAAAAGTTTATTCAATAATTAGATTCCATCAAACGACCCGAGGATAATGAGCCGTAAATGTAATTTCTGCCTAAAAGTTTGCCCGTCTCCCGCTGCTTTAAGGGATCACTTGAGAACTCACACTGGAGAGCGGCCATTTTCGTGTAATTTTTGCAATGGCACTTTCACTACAAAAAGTAATTTAAACAGACACATCAGAAACATCCATCCTAAAAAGGAAAATTCATCTTGCTGCGAAGTAAGATGAAGTGTATAAATATGTGAATTACTAAGCTTTTAACCAGGACCTTAACTTTTAACTTTAACTTTTAACCTTGAAATTTCGAGATATGCAAAAGTTTCGAGGTTTTTTTTCCTATGTGTGGATGTTAGACTGTGTTTGGGCGGCATAATTTTGTTCACCTTGTTTGAAGCCTAATAATTTCTGTGATAAGAGTGATCAGAATCGGAGTCAGATGGTTTAACACAGGAATTAAACCATCATTAAGTGTCAAAGCGGTTGAACTAAATCATGTCCCCATATACATTCTAACATCTTAGGCGAGATTTTAACCGGTTTTACTGTACTATTGAAAAGTGGCAAAAAAGCTTACTTTGAGGGGAGAGACAAGTTTTATTATATATATTTTTTAATTTTGAACACTAATAACGTGTAAAATATTCATTAAGAGATATGACACACGACCACTTTTAGGTCTTCACCCTGTCGACCTTTAATTAAGAATCAAAATTTAATAGTATTAATGCCTCTTTATACGCAAGCTACAGTGCCACATTTCGTTTCTTAAACTTTACCCATTCTGAGATATTGTTTAATATCTCAGAACAGAAAATAANACTTTCAGAAATGTGCACAAGATGTTCAACGAGAGCAGAAAGAATCGTTTGAACGACCATCAACAAGTTTTCTTATACCTGAGTCAACAGAATTTCAAGAAATTTCTTTCGATGAGAATCTTTTTACTTTACAAGACTGTGAAGAATTCCTCGAAACTCTTAACGTCAATTTTGGAATTCTGCAACAGGAAGGTTTTTCACAAATGACATTTTCCCCAGATATGGACGTTGAAGTGTGTTATTTGAAATGTCCATTCTGTCGTGAACAATTTTTCGACGACGTTTCTCTTAAAGAACACGAAAGAAACTCCCATCCGTCTGATTAAATAATTCTGGACAACTATCTTTCAAAATATATTAAATTAATAAGATATCGGATTATTAATATTTCAAAATTTAATAACGGAGACAAAATTAAATATTCAGGACAAGAAGCTCAGTTACAGTTCGGGATATATGTCAAATTGTCGTAAAAAGTATTCATCTAATTTAATTTATAGCGAAAATTATTTGATTGAAACTTTATAATATTTAAAAGAAACAAATTTATTAAGTTATTTTTCACATTTATTGCTTCATGAAAACAAAAGATGTAAACATCGAAGAAACACTTAATTTATATTTTACATTTTTAATGTCGATAAGCTTTAATTGAATAAATTTCAATTAAATTTTAAAAAATGCACGTTTCTGTCCCTTTAATATCTATACTGTTTCAAGTTAATTGTTTACTTTACTTTATTTATGATGTAAGCCATTAGCTTTTTTCCAGTGTAAAAAGAAAATACAAACATATCATAACAAACATACAGAAAAAACAATTAACATACAAAATTAAACATAATTCAAGGTTTTTATAGAGTCTTTAAGTTGGTTGTAGGTTTTGAAATTTGTGTATTATTCATTTACAGCGTTTCAATTACATATTATTTGGTAGATAGGCGTTATAAACAAGCATTCGACGCTATAGGACAGCATTTGGAGGAGTATACCAAATTTTATTAAAATGTTTTTCATCGTATAATTACATGAAATTATTGTATAATGGTTTTATAGTATCGTATAATTTTGTAATGGTTTCATCATAAGATTTTAATTTTTTCTGTAAAAAATTATTGATTGTATGATACTTTTTATAGTATGGTATAATTGTTTAATGGTGTTATCATATACCATGTTCAAGGTTTAACTTTGAAACCGTTTAGTGACACTAGATAGGAGAGTGAGATAGAGACCTTAAAGCCTTTGAGATTTCATTTGGGAGACGTATACAACGCCCTGCTAAGCATTTACGAAAATTATGAAATCGATAATTTAATAAGAGACGAGGCCCTCGGGTTTAATAAAATGTATTAAACGATTTAACTTTTTGTGTTCATTAGTTATTTGGCATAAAATACTAAATTCCATTAATCCGATAAAGCGAGTTGATGCAAACAAAAGATTTTGATTTAGCTTTTGCACTTGATCTTTTACAAAACTGCAAAATATTTTATAAGAATCTTCGATCGGATTCTTCCTTCGATGAAACTATTATTGATGCAAAAGCACTTTCAACTCCCTCATACACACAACTCTAGATTGTCCCTGCTCCGCCAAATGGCATTTATTGACAAGTTATTGAACATTTATCTCTCATTATACAGATCCAAGTATTTTANTATTTTATATAGAGGTTTCGTTTAAGTATTTATATAAACTATTTTATAGAAACGCCACTGACAAGATTCTTCAACATACTATTATTGATATATACAATTAAACATAGTCGTACAACAATTATTAAAAGTGTATTTGAAACCAAGCAAAATTAATTGTAAAATGACAATAACGTATACCATAATTTTAATCTCCTTATAACAATTAGCGATAAAACACCTGTTTCTGGTGTATTTACTTTGTATATTGGAAATATTAATTAGAAAGTAAAAACACGTGAAAGATATATGTTTTGTTTCTAAATAGAAATATTAACTATAAAAATAAAAATTGGAAAGAAAGTTTATTCTAAAAGTTTAAACTCTTTGTAACTAGTGTTTAGTATTATTTACAGTATTAATTACACCAATGTGTTTATTATGAGTAGTAATTCCGATTTTATAAAGGATTTTAACTTATTTCTTGAAACTCTCGAAAAATGAAAGAAATCTTAATCAATTCACAATTTCTAATAAAGTTCTAAACCGGAAAAAAGCGAAGTGTTTACTGAATCTTATAAAATGACAACATTAATTAAAATTACTCATCAATTTAATTATTTTACGCTTGGTTTCTGTAAATTAGTACAGATTCGTTGGTTATCATTTTTAAAACTAACTACATCTTCTATATTACTTAATATAATGATATCGGATATAATAGAAATATTTCATATGTTAATTTTCTAAACTTCATCACCTTAAGTATCGAAATATAAGGCCAAGGACCCACGTGTGTAAAAATGAAAATGTGTGGCAAACAAGTGAATCAGAAAGTTTCAGGTTCAGTTTCTGCTTTACGCTTTTATGCCAGATTACACATACGTAAACTTCTGGCCGAATAGGAAAAACTGCTGCCATTAACAGTGCTAATTTTTTTGTATTTTTTTTATATATCTATCCCTTTAAATCCTTCATTCTTTCTTTGCTGACTCTGCTATAATTCAAAAAAATTAAATTAATAGACTTGTTTTCCGAATTGAAAGTAACATGTGATCTGAATACTATATATCGCTTCAACTACACCTACCTGTTATTTGAAATTTAGCACCTATGGCCGTCCATAAACTTTTTTTAAATACAATTGTTTTATACTTATCACATTTTTGTCAAAAAGACACTAATGTGCTCGAACGGATTTAATGGACTCTTCTATTTCATTTATTTTTCGGTTTTTGGAGACTGTCACAATTGTAGTGCTAACCGCCATTGTCGCCAGTATTAGAATGAAAACCACTTGTTTACTTTGACCTCACAAAAAAAAAATCTCTTTATTGGGGAATTTTACGCGGGTAATAAGTAGGGGCAATGCGCCACTCTTTTTCTAAGTTATTGTACAGCCAAAATTTTATAAAAATTTTTACGCTTTCTGTATTATACTCCATTTTAGGCCGATTTCTACGCATGTGTTTTCACGTACTAACAATAAAAATATAGAAACTTCTCGTAACATTTACGTTGGATAAAAGTTTTTTCTGATGCCTTGCAAACGTGTATTGTTTCAACTGATCTTTCTGTTCATAACTAAATTCACAGCCATTATAATTCTACTCCTTTCAATGAACTACTTGTAGTACGTTTATGGCCTCAGTGTCATAAATAAAGAAATAAATAAAAATAATAATTTATAACAATAGAAGTAAAAATATAATTTTGAATATATTCCTTATTTCGGCAGTCCAAATACCCAAAAATTGCAGGCATTTTCATTCCTGTAAACTCACATACTCGTATTGCATATTACCAAACCGTGCTTTTACTGTTACTGTTTATTGTGCAGATTGAGTAAAATGATAATAACTCAAAAATAAATTGAACAATAAACAGAAATAGCGTGACTCTATTTGTTTCCTCACATCGTTTCTTCAATACAAAAGATATCGTTTTGTGTTTTCAATTATTTTTAGGTTCAGTGACATGCGCCATTATATAATCATTCGCTTAATATAGTCGAAACATAACAATCAAAAAATTACATTATTTTGGTGCATTGTTGTTTTCGGTTTTAACGAAATATCGTCTTAAAATTAGAAAACTGAATTCGATAATTGCATCAAAATAAGTAAAGTCAAGATGGTAAGTGAAATCTTTTATTTAATTTGTATAATACATTATGAATTTTCCAAACTGTTTTATTCAAAATTCACGAAATAACATAAACTATCAATTTTATATCGAAGATACAGTACATATTATTAATGTTTTTATCATATTATTATAATATATAACAACAATATATAATATTGTGAATAATTTTAATCTAAGTTTTTTACTAATTATTTATATTTATTCAACGAATTGTTTTAATAGGACAGAAAGCAGCAATGCCCGATATGCGGAAAGGAATTTCGACGTAAATATAGTTTGCAAACACACATGCGAATTCACACGAGTGAAAAGCCGTATAAATGCAATTCGTGCGGAAAAAGCTTTTCGGATAACAGCAATTTGATTCGTCATTTGAAAGTGCATTCAAATAAAAAGCCGTTCAAGTGCAATTACTATGACTGTAAGAAACGCTTCAAAAGTAAATCCGAGTTGGAACAACACACGTACGCATTGCATTCTGATGAAATTTTATCTGAAGTAAATATTACCACAAGTTCCTATATTTTCATTTTCGTTTTTATTTTTCAATTATCAAAGCGATAAAAGTTATAAAATAAACAGACACAATATAAGTATATATGATAATATTTTAAACAATACTCGATGCAACTGTGTTAATTCACGTGAACAAATATTAAAATAATAATGATAATAATAAGCAACTGTAAACATCATTATTGTTTTTTTGGCCTGAAAATTTTCGTTGTTTTTTTATTGGTTTCGACGATCATTCAAATATTTTACATTGGTTATGTTTCTTTGTATTTTTTAAGAAAACCCGTTCTTTGTATTTAACCTTTTCCAATTAATTACTCATAAACATTTATAAAGTCGGAAAGACGTTATTCATAAAGAATTCATCAGTGTAATTAATATCCTACGATAAATGTGAAGTATATAACATTTTAATTACAACAATGTTAAATTATTAAGCGAATCATTCTTCACACTTATTAATCTTATAATTGATATTTTTATTGATAAAAACAACATACCTCTTCGTGTTGTTATTTTCTAATTTATTACTTGCATTTTATAAAGTAAAAACACCAGAAAAACTTTTTTTATTTTTCACCGTATTATGTTATTATTTTTTTAAGATTGAATTCAGATTACAATCGAAAATTTTTTTTAAACACAGTTGTTCAATGTGCGTAATTGTTAGTGTCAATAATAAGATCTTATAACTCCAACATCACCACAATGAAATATAATGTGGAAATCATTTGAAAACTATTTTACGAATAATTGTGATAAACTTCTTGCCTTTAGAAAGCTACTTTTTATGTTTTTATATACTGTTAACAATTAAATTAAAATTTTTAAAATAATTAGATTCCACCGAACGATCCGAAGATAATGAGTCGTATTTGTAAAATCTGCAAAAAAGTTTGTCAGTCTCCCGCTGCTTTAAACACTCACATGAGAACTCACACCGGAGAGCGGCCATTTTCCTGTAATTTTTGCAATGCCACTTTCAATACCAAAAGTAGTCTAAACAGACACATCAGAAGCATCCATCTAAAAGAGAAAACTCCATATTGCACCGAAGTAAGTGTATAAATAGGTTAATTAATGACTAAATATTCAACACACAATCGACTATTAAAATGAAAAAAATTATGATAATAACTTCACTTATTTAACGAGCACGCATTGTATCAATGTTCATTTATCGCATATATTGTACACATGTGTATTTGTTTTATTAGATACTCCAAGAAAAGTTTTTTTAATTAACAGGAAAACTCCTGTATTAGAAATATACAACGATTCTGGATTCTTTGTCAAATATCAGCCATTAACGCTTTATTCTATAGCATTACAAATATATAATACAGTATATAATTATCTATTACATATTTTTTTCAATTTACATTTTAGTAAATGTTGTACTGTAATGCTATTTGTGTTATTTACTTTCAGGAATGTACACAAGACGTTCAACGAGAGCAAAAAATATCGCTTGAACAACCATCAACACGTTTTCAAATACCACAGTCAATAGAATTTGAAGAAATTTCATCACAAGATAATCTTTTCACTTCAAAAGAAAGTGAACAATTTCTTGAAAACGTTGACGTCAATTTAGAAACTATTCAGTTGGAATTATCGTCGCCACTGAAATTCTTTCCAGAAATACACGTTGAAGAAACATATTTGGAATGTCCTTTCTGTCGTCAACGATTTTTGGACGAAGTTTCCCTAAAAGAACACGAAAGAAACTTCCATCCGTTTGATTAATTAATTCTGGACAACTAATTTTTCAAATATATTAAATTAATAATATATTAGATTATTTACGTCTTGATATTTAATAACGAAAGCAAAATTGAATACAGTATTCAGTTACAGTTCGTGATATATGTGAAATCGTCGTAGACAGTATACATTTGAATTAATTTAATAGCGAAAATTATATGATAGAAAATTTATAATATATTTGATTATTTACGTTTTGATATTTAATAATGAAAGCAAAATTGAATACAGTATTCAGTTACAGTTCGCGATATATGTGAAATCGTCGTAGATAGTATACATTTGAATTAATTTATAGCGAAAATTATATGATAGAAAATTTATAATATTTGAAAGAAACAAAACTTGTTAAGTGATTTTTTCACATTTATTGCTTCAGGAAACCAAAAGATTCAAACATCGACGTTACACTTAATTTATGTTTTACATTTGTTCGATAAGCTTTAATTGAATAAATTTCAATTCAATTTAAAAAATTGCACCTTTCTGTCTCTTTTATATCTAAAGTATTTCAAGTTAATTATTTACTTTACTTTATTTATCATGTAAGCCATTAGCTTTTTTCCAGTGTAAAAAGAAAATACAAACAGACCATAACAGACATAAAGAAAAAACAATTATACACAAAATTAAACATAATTCAAGCTTTTGATAGTCTTTAAGTTGCTTGTAGATATTCAATTTTTTGATTGTTTACTAAAGCGTTTCAATTATTTTTAACTTTTTAAAATATTTCTAAAATGACTTAGGGAAACGTCATTACTCCGAGCAGCAATGCAGCCTGTGTGAACTTTTACTGGATGTTTCTTTTCAATAAAATCAGTCACTTTCTGATAGTACCTCAAGATTTCCTTTATTGAGTAAGATATTTCCACGAAGAAGAAAAAAGAGATTATTCGGAAGAAAGACTTCTGCTGTACTATTTTAAATGCAATTGTTTGTTTTCAGCAACGTTTAGTCTTCATTGAGTATTTAAATGTATTTAATTGATAACATTTCAAACATTGTTATAAATATTTTTATATATTTCGATTTTTAACCAAATGTTCGAACCATTTTGAATTCGAATTTGTTATTTCATATTGGTTCATAAACGTTTCGGAAAATTGATGAAATTGAAAATAGTTCGTTTGATTCTCTGCAATTGTTATCATTCTCAGCATTAGATGTTATATAACGATTACTATGGTTGTTGAAATACTGAATGTAAATGGGTTTTGTTTGCGAAACAACCGCAGGCGAAGTCGCGGGTAACAGCTAGTGGTTAATAAGAATCTATTTTAATTAAGCTTACAAAGGAATAAATTTTAGTTTTTAATTTAGTAATACGTAATCTAAATTTACAAATACATATACGGTACGTACATACTTGTAAATATACATGTTTACAATTTGGCGATGTTTACAGTACATCGCGGACTCTCTATTTGGGAATGTCGTTTGGTCTAAGACTTTATAAAATAAGATGATTTTATAAGATTAAATAACACATACAGTTATTAAAATTATTTTGCGATAGTAAAAGATAAACTAATTTATATTTAGCGATATCGAGTGGCGCTGACAACAACGCCAAACAGTAGAGATTGGAAATACCGTGGAAAATGCCAATATTGAGCTATTAAAGACCGCTAAATGAGACGACAACACAGATTCACAGATGTTTTCATATTTCGTACTCTACGAATTATGATTATATTTACATTTACTCTAAATGTATGTATTTTAATATGATTTCATGTGCTTCTAACACTTTTCTGGTAATATTACGACTTCAATAATTGTGGCCGACAGACGTAAAGTCGAATAAAATGACTTAAATGACTTATGACTTTCATTTTTCCATGTATTTTTTTTCTTTTTTTGTTTTCCTGGTGTGGCTATTGTTCATAATGTTCGGTAACTTTGATTAATTAATTAAGTACAATTTATCATATTTATCTACATGGACTGACAAGTATATATAACAAACGGGAAATAACATTAAACGCTGATTATTTGATATACAGTTATTTATTAATGTTTCTGTCATCTACAATATTGTTTGAGAAGCAGAAATTATATAAGTCGGTAAACTACATGAATTTTTTGCAATGAAGAGTCTGATTAATGTTTATTAAAAAAACACTTGCGATTATGCTACTGTCGCAGCTAAATATAACACATGATTCGAAGTGTATCAACAAGTCACCAATTACACCAATTAAGTTACATGAACTTCATCTGTCATTTAAGACTTAATTACAAACGACGTTAAATTTAAAGAGAAACCCATACCAACAATTCTATTTAATTAAAACGTGAATTCTAAAAATACAATTTATTTTTAAAAAAAATGGAGTAAGAACCGTTGACGTGTAGGAATGTCTTCAATATGATATTGCTTATGTTTTAGAAATTTCTCATTCGAGCGAGTGCTGAAATAACATAAATGACATCGAAATAGTATTACCGACGATTCAGGATTATCGACTTTGTCGTCTGCTTTACATTGTTCATCATCTTTGTTGTTAATATTTGTATTTATTGGTGCAGACCATATTTCGAAAATAAATTATTGTTTTTCATTCACCGATAAGAACACTGTCTCGAATATATAAAACATATGTACCCGTATGTTTTATGTATATAAATATACACGTATTTCCTGGATTTAACATGCGTTGTGAAACAGTGCACTACAGGCACCATTTGGACAGTTATTCCTAGATCTACTTGTTTATGATGTGAAGATAATATGATATATAAATACTAATCTCGCAGCAAAGCGCAGACTTCAATTAATTTGTTAATTTAAATTTTACACATAATGTAAAAGTATTAATAGGTAAAAGTAGATTTTAACACAAAAATACAAAATTTTTTTAATTAGGCGTCATACGCAGTGATTTTAATTTAAAATACTTACATTCGAGAAGAGTTATCTGTTGCAATTTCACAAATATTTTACTAAAACAAATCAATTATAAGTTATAATATATTATATCATTGTTTATTAGGTTGTATTATCTATTGAATGTAGATTATCGAATACAATATAGAAAAACTATGGTAATAATTTCTGAAACGTGATTATTATTGATATAAGCTCAATCAAAAAGCTTTAAAATATTTTGAAGAATTTACAAAACGGAGATAAATTTTTTGTATCATTTTATATTTTGTTTATAAGCTTCATATACAATGTATATATAATTTTGTTTACCACTTGTTTACTTTGACGTCACAAAAAAGAAATTTCTTTATTAGGGAATTTTACGCAGGTAAAAAGTAGGGACAATGCGCCACTCTTTTCTAAGTTATTGTACAGCCAAAATTTTATAAAAATTTTTACGCTTTCTGTATTATACTCCATTTTACGCCCATTTCTACGCATGTGTTTTCACGTACTAACAATGAAAATATAGAAACTTCTCGTAACATTTATGTTGGATAAAAGTTCTTTCTGATGCCTTGCAAACGTGTATTGTTTCAACTGATCTTTCTGTTCATAACTAAATTCACAGCCATTATAATTCTACTCCTTTCAATGAACTAATTGTAGTACGTTTATGGCCTCAGTGTCATAAATAAATAAATAAATAAATAAAAATAATAATTTATCACAATAGAAGTAAAAATATAATTTTGAATATATTCCTTATTTCGGCAGTCCAAATACCCAAAAATTGCAGGCATTCCCATTTCTGTAAACTCACATACTCGTATTGAATATTACCAAACCTTGCTTTTATTGTTACTGTTTATTGTGCAGATTGAGTAAAATGATAATAACTCAAAAATAAATTGAACAAGAAACAGAAATAACGTTACTCTATTTGTTTCCTCACAATATAGAAGATGTATGTATCGTTTTGTGTTTTCAATTATTTTTATGTTCGGGGACATACGCAATTAAACATGCTTAATATAATCAGAACATAACAATCAAAAAATTACATTATTTTGGTGCATTGTTGTTTTCGGTTTTAACGAAATTTCATCTTAAAATTAGAAAACTGAATTCGATAATTGCATCAAAATAAGTAAAGTCAAGATGGTAAGTAAAATCTTTCATTTAATTTGTATAATACATTATGAATTTTCCAAACTGTTTTATTCAAAATTCACGAAATAACATAAACTATCAATTTTATATCGAAGATACAGTACATATTATTAATGTTTTTATCATATTATTATAATATATAACAACAATATATAATATTGTGAATAATTTTAATCTAAGTTTTTTACTAATTATTTATATTTATTCAACGAATTGTTTTAATAGGACAGAAAGCAGCAATGCCCGATATGCGGAAAGGAATTTCGACGTAAATATAGTTTGCAAACACACATGCGAATTCACACGAGTGAAAAGCCGTATAAATGCAATTCGTGCGGAAAAAGCTTTTCGGATAACAGCAATTTGATTCGTCATTTGAAAGTGCATTCAAATAAAAAGCCGTTCAAGTGCAATTACTATGACTGTAAGAAACGCTTCAAAAGTAAATCCGAGTTGGAACAACACACGTACGCATTGCATTCTGATGAAATTTTATCTGAAGTAAATATTACCACAAGTTCCTATATTTTCATTTTCGTTTTTATTTTTCAATTATCAAAGCGATAAAAGTTATAAAATAAACAGACACAATATAAGTATATATGATAATATTTTAAACAATACTCGATGCAACTGTGTTAATTCACGTGAACAAATATTAAAATAATAATGATAATAATAAGCAACTGTAAACATCATTATTGTTTTTTTGGCCTGAAAATTTTCGTTGTTTTTTTATTGGTTTCGACGATCATTCAAATATTTTACATTGGTTATGTTTCTTTGTATTTTTTAAGAAAACCCGTTCTTTGTATTTAACCTTTTCCAATTAATTACTCATAAACATTTATAAAGTCGGAAAGACGTTATTCATAAAGAATTCATCAGTGTAATTAATATCCTACGATAAATGTGAAGTATATAACATTTTAATTACAACAATGTTAAATTATTAAGCGAATCATTCTTCACACTTATTAATCTTATAATTGATATTTTTATTGATAAAAACAACATACCTCTTCGTGTTGTTATTTTCTAATTTATTACTTGCATTTTATAAAGTAAAAACACCAGAAAAACTTTTTTTATTTTTCACCGTATTATGTTATTATTTTTTTAAGATTGAATTCAGATTACAATCGAAAATTTTTTTTAAACACAGTTGTTCAATGTGCGTAATTGTTAGTGTCAATAATAAGATCTTATAACTCCAACATCACCACAATGAAATATAATGTGGAAATCATTTGAAAACTATTTTACGAATAATTGTGATAAACTTCTTGCCTTTAGAAAGCTACTTTTTATGTTTTTATATACTGTTAACAATTAAATTAAAATTTTTAAAATAATTAGATTCCACCGAACGATCCGAAGATAATGAGTCGTATTTGTAAAATCTGCAAAAAAGTTTGTCAGTCTCCCGCTGCTTTAAACACTCACATGAGAACTCACACCGGAGAGCGGCCATTTTCCTGTAATTTTTGCAATGCCACTTTCAATACCAAAAGTAGTCTAAACAGACACATCAGAAGCATCCATCTAAAAGAGAAAACTCCATATTGCACCGAAGTAAGTGTATAAATAGGTTAATTAATGACTAAATATTCAACACACAATCGACTATTAAAATGAAAAAAATTATGATAATAACTTCACTTATTTAACGAGCACGCATTGTATCAATGTTCATTTATCGCATATATTGTACACATGTGTATTTGTTTTATTAGATACTCCAAGAAAAGTTTTTTTAATTAACAGGAAAACTCCTGTATTAGAAATATACAACGATTCTGGATTCTTTGTCAAATATCAGCCATTAACGCTTTATTCTATAGCATTACAAATATATAATACAGTATATAATTATCTATTACATATTTTTTTCAATTTACATTTTAGTAAATGTTGTACTGTAATGCTATTTGTGTTATTTACTTTCAGGAATGTACACAAGACGTTCAACGAGAGCAAAAAATATCGCTTGAACAACCATCAACACGTTTTCAAATACCACAGTCAATAGAATTTGAAGAAATTTCATCACAAGATAATCTTTTCACTTCAAAAGAAAGTGAACAATTTCTTGAAAACGTTGACGTCAATTTAGAAACTATTCAGTTGGAATTATCGTCGCCACTGAAATTCTTTCCAGAAATACACGTTGAAGAAACATATTTGGAATGTCCTTTCTGTCGTCAACGATTTTTGGACGAAGTTTCCCTAAAAGAACACGAAAGAAACTTCCATCCGTTTGATTAATTAATTCTGGACAACTAATTTTTCAAATATATTAAATTAATAATATATTAGATTATTTACGTCTTGATATTTAATAACGAAAGCAAAATTGAATACAGTATTCAGTTACAGTTCGTGATATATGTGAAATCGTCGTAGACAGTATACATTTTAATTTAATTTATAGCGAAAATTATATGATAGAAAATTTATAATATTTGAAAAAAACAAAACTTATTAAGTTATTTTTTCAATTTATTGCTTCAGAAAACCAAAAGACCAAACATCGACGTTACACTTAATTAATGTTTTACATTTGTAAAGTCGATAAGCTTTAATTGAATAAATTTCGATTCAATTTAAAAAATTGCACCTTTCTGTCTCTTTTATATCTAAACTATTTCAAGTTAATTATTTACTTTACTTTATTTATCATGTAAGCCATTAGCTTTTTTCCAGTGTAAAATGAAAATACAAACAGACCATAACAGACATACACAAAAAACAATTAACATACAAAATTAAACATAATTCAAGCTTTTGATAAAGTCTTTAAGTTGTTTGTAGGTATTCAAATTTTTTGATTGTTTACTAAGCGTTTCAATTATTTCTAACTTTTTAAAATATTTCTAAAATGACATAGGCAAACGTCATTACTCTGATCAGTAATGCAGCCAGTGTGAACCTTTTCTGGATGTTTCTTTTCAATAAAATCAGTCACTTTCTGATAATACCTCAAGATTTTCTTTATCGAGTAAGATCCTTAATTAAGATTTATCATATTTATCTACATTTATCTACATGGACTGACAAGTATATATAACAAACGGGAAATAACATTAAACGCTGATTATTTGATTTACAGTTATTTAATAATGTTTCTGTCATCTACAATATTGTTTGAGTAGCAGAAATTATTTTGTTATAAGTCGGTAAACTACATGAATTTTTTGCAATAAAGGGTGTGATTAATGTTTATTAAAAAACACTTGCGATTATGCTACTATCCCAGCTAAATATAACACATGATTCGAAGTGTATCAACAAGTCACCAATTACACCAGTTACGTTAAATGAACTTCATCTGTCATTTAAGACTTAATTACAAACTACGTTAAATTTAAAGAGAAACCCATACCAACAATTCTATTTAATTAAAACGTGAATTCTAAAAATACAATTTATTTTTAAAGAAAAAATGGAATAAGAACCGTTGACGTGTAGGAATGTCTTCAATATGATATTGCTTATGTTTTAGAAATTTCTCATTCGAGAGAGTGCTGAAAAAACATAAATGACATCGAAATACTATTTCCGACGATTCAGGATTATCGACTTTGTCGTCTGCTTTACATTGTTCATCATCTTTATTGTCAATATTTGTCTTTATTGATATTTCGAAAATATATTATTGTTTTTCACTCTCCAAAAAAGAACAGTGTCTCGAATATATAAAACATTTGTACCCGTATGTATTATGTATATAAATATACATGTATTTCCTGGATTTAACATGTGTTGTGTAACGGTGCAGTACAGGCACCATTTGGACAGTTATTCCGCGGATGTACTTTTTTATGATGTGAAGATAATACGTTATATAAATACTAATCTCGCAGCAAAGCGCAGACTTCAATTAATTTGTTAATTTAAATTTTACACATAATGTAAAAGTATTAATAGGTAAAAGTAGATTTTAACACAAAAATACAAAATTTTTTTAATTAGGCGTCATATGCAGTGATTTTAATTTAAAATACTTACATTCGAGAAGAGTTATCTGTTGCAGTTTCACAAATATTTTACTAAAACAAATCAATTTTAACTTGTAATAAATTATATCATTGTTTATTAGGTTGTATTATCTATTGGATGTAGATTATCGAATACAATATAGAAAAACTATGGTAATAATTTCTGAAACGTGATTATTATTGATATAAGCTCAATCAAAAAGCTTTAAAATATTTTCAAGAATTTACAAAACAGGGATAAATTTTTTGTATCATTTTATATTTTGTTTATAAGTTTCATATACAATCTGTATATATTTTTGTGAAACAAATTAAAATTTTTAAATCGTCATTTTCCAGAATGTAATTCCAAACATAATTTTTGTAACAGAACATGTTGCAATGCAGTTTACTCTATATTTTAGAATTGTAGACTTTAAAAATATGGCATCGTATTTCCTATAAATCAGATTAGATTTACAATTTTATTGTATTTAAGTTGTATATTATTTATTTCTACGTACGAATCACTTTTATTACAGTTTCGTAAGAGATAAATAAACGTATTGTATACTATTTTATATTTACTCTTAACAATGTGTACGACGAACCCTGAAATTTAAGTTTTATTATTTTTAGAATTTTGTACATTAAAAACGTAATAATAAGTTTAATTTACATATTAACATTCAAAAGTGATAAATGGAACATTCACAACATAATTTTCTAGTTTTCCAAATTTGCAAACGTAATTTAAACTGATGTACACTATAAATACCTATTATTTTACATTACAATTATAAATTCTTATATACAAAATTTAAACGATTTATTTCAAAAATTTTGTTTAAGAGCAATTTTTGTGTACTTGTAAAATTAATATTGTATTTTGACAGTAAAAAGTGTTCTTAAACAGTTTTAATAACAGTTAAAGTGCGCTTAAGTCGTTACAGAAAGCGTGTATAAAGGTGCTTTAAAACCATTTTTATTTGCAGTGTATAGTTTGCACAAGAGTTATTTTTTGATGCGAATTGACAACTTTTCTATGAAATTAATCTCCGAAATACTTTTAATTACACAGACATATCTATGTACATAAAAAATGTAAACCATATAATTTGTTCCTCTTAACATGCGCACTAATTCAATCTTCTATTTCATTTATTTTCGTTTTTTGGAGAGTGTCTAGGGCTAGCCGCCACTGTCGTCATTATTAGAATAAAAATCACGTGTTTACTTTGTCATTACAAAACAGCATCTCTTTATTGGGAAATTTTTTTTCATTTTTTTTTATTGGGACATTTTTTCAGTTATTGTTCAGCCAAAATTTTAGAAAAATTTTTACGCTTTCTGTTTTATGCAAGATTTTATGGCGATTTCTACGCATGTGTGTTCACGGCCTAAAAATAATAATATAGAAACTTCCGTGCATTTACATTGGATAAAAGTTCCTTCTGATGTCTTGCAAACGTGTATTGTTTCAACTGATCTTTCTGTTCATAACTATATTCACAGCCATTATAGTTGTAATTGTATGACTTCTCATCCGAATAAACTACACGTAATACGCTTATGGCCTCACTATCATAAATAAATAAATAAAAATAAGAATTTATAACAATAGAAATAAAAATATAATTTTGAATATACTCCTTATTTTGGCAGTCCAAATACCCAAAAATTGTACGCATTTCTATTCGTGTAAACTCGCACACTCCGACTGACAATTACCAAACCGTGCTTTTCCTGTTACTGCTTATTGTGCAGATTGATTAAAATAATAATAATTTAAAAATAAGTTAAGCAAGAAACAGAAATAGCGTTACTCTATTTGTTTCCTCATATGCGTTTCTCCAATACAGAAGATGTATGTATCGTTTTGTGTTTTCAATTATTTTTAGGTTCGAGGACATACGCAATTAAACATACTTAATATAATCTAAACATAACAATCAAGAAATTACATTATTTCGGTGCATTGTTGTATTCTGTTTTAACATAATTTCGTCTTGAAATTAATAGACTGAATTTGATAACTGAATCAAAATAAGTAAAATCATAATGGTAAGTGTAATCTTTTATTTAATTTGAGAAATTCAAAATGTATTATACAAACTGTTTTATTAGAAATTCACGAAATAACACAAACTGACAATTTCAATTTTATATCGATGATAGAGTACATATTAACATAATCTTACAATATTACAACATAATAATACAATATTAACATAATATTATAATATGTAACAATAATTTATATTATCGAGAATAATTTTTATTTAAGTTTTTTACTAATTATTTATATTTATTCAACGCATTCTTTTTAAAAGGACAGAAAATTTCTTTCCACATGCCCGACATGTGGAAAGACATTTCTTTGTGAAAGCGAATGAAAGACCGTTTCAATGCAATTTGTGCGAAAAAAGCTTTACCCAGAAGGGTCATTTAACAAGGCACATGAAAGTGCACTCGGATGAAAAGCCGTTCAAGTGCAATTACAATGTCTGTAAAGAAAGTTTTACACAGAAATCCCATTTGGAACAACACACGTACGCATTCTGATGAAATTTTATCTAAAGTAAATATTATCACAAGTTCCTATATTTCCATTTTCCTTTTTTTTTATCAAAGCGATAAAAGTTATAAAATAAACAGACAGAATATAATTCTACAGGATAATATAAAATTTTAAATTAATATTTTAAACAATACTCGATGCAACTGTGTTCATTTACACAAACAAATATTAAAATAATAATATCAATAAGCGACTGTAAATATCATTATTGTTCTTTTGGCGCTGGAAAATTTTGTTGTTTTATAATAGTTATCACCTTCGATAAAAAACCATAAGTTAATTACGTTAAGACTGTGAAGAATTTCTTGAAAACCTTAACGTCGATTTAGAAATTATTCAATTGGAATCATTGTCGCCACTGGAATTCTTCCCAGAAATAAACGTTGACGATACTTATTTGGAATGTCCGTTCTGTTGTGAACAATTTTTAGACGAAGTTTTTCTGAAAGAACACGAAAGAAGCTTCCATCCGTCTGATTAATTAATTCTGGACAACTAATTTCCAAATTATATTAAATTAATAATATATCAGATTATTAATATTTCAAAATTTAATAACAAAAGGAAAAATTAAATATTTAGTGAAGATGCTTAGTTACACTTCGTGATATATGTGAAATCGTCGTGGAAAATATACATCTAATTTCATTTATAACGAAAACTATTTGATAGAAACTGCATAATATTTGAAAGTTTTGTTCGTACTTTTATGTCAATGTATGTTTTCTTGCAAAGCGAAAATGTACATTCCAGAATATACATAAACACTTCTGAATGTTAAATGAAAAGTTTTCTACTTCATTTTTACAACGAGTATAAAGAATTACAAAGCACATTCAAGAACAATGGATATTGAACTTTCAAGGTATCCATGAGTAAACTCGAATAAGCCTACTGTTTAAACCCAAGTATTCTCGTTTACAATGTACAGTATTATATGTTTCAACTGATAGATGGTATCGATTTTGCTAGAATTTTAAAAAATGTGGTGATACACTAATACCACGCATACAATTGAACATGTCGAACAGCAATTATTAATTTGAATGAATCAACAACAGTTAGATAGCGATTTTGTCTCGCAGGCCATCATATTAGTCTTTTATAATTATTTTTTATTGTTGTTACTATAAACACTATACTCATTTTCTATGAAATTGGTTTTTGATATTGTATTTTGGAGTGTCTCGAACAAATTAATTAGATTTACATTGATTTATATTTAAATAATTGCCTCGGTTATGTCGGTTTCGGATTTCGCCGATTGTTTTCGGACGGATTATCGACGAAAATCGATGTATTACTATATCTAATTGAACAGTTTTTCGAGCTTGTATAATAATTTTTAAATGTCATTTTGTGCATTCTCAGTCAAGATAAACTCTTTTAAATAAAAGCTTGAGGCGAGAGTTCATTCATAAAGGTAATTTGAAAGAAGAAAATGTTAGTGATAAAAAATTAGATTTTTTATATTTATATGGGTCAAACAAGTAATGCCTTTTAGTGAAGAAATTCAAGAATATTTTCACCTAATAGACAAAATTTTGGTGCCGTTCTGTAGAAAAAGAATTACACGTTATTATCTATATTAATTTATTTTTTTCTCGTTCAATTGTCATAGAAGACTGAAAACAATTTAACCTTTTTTGATTCTTTTTCTTAAATTATATTCGAAATTGCAAGTCTTTTCATGTTTACTTTTTATCTTGAATCTTTACTCAAGTATATTTATTTGAGTAAAGATTTTAAACACTCCGACAGGAATAGGACCATAACTCACATACTCTTGTCAGTATTTTATTTCGAGAGAAATTGAATATGAACGAGAAATATAATGACTAACGTAACTTATCATTTCTGTTTGTAAAATAAACAAAGAAGTAAGATAAAAATTTCATAAAATTATATATTTTTACGCCTTTTATCTTATAATTGATTTCAGAAGATGGTTTGCCGTTATTGCTTTACGTTTAAAGCTGTGAGGGTACTTATAGTTTTAAATGTCAAATGACTTCGGTGATGCGCGAATGGGGTACCAACGAACAATGGATAAAACACATAAAAGTATTTGAAGATTTCTTTAAAATTAATGTTTTGAATAAATTAATTCGTGTATTTTGTTTCAGACAGAAGATATTATTGCAGCATTTCTTCTAACTGAAGATTGGAATGATACAGAAACAAAATATGAAAAGTTCGTTTCCAAATTTGATTTACGAGTGCAATACTCTTTTTGAAGTGCAGGAAGATCTTACGAAACCAGAATGTCATCTGTTACACTAAACTCCTCGTTTCCAACGAATCTAGCAGCATCAAAACTTTCCACAGTTTTTTAGTTAAAAGTTTTTATCAGAAAGACCTACCTCTCAGTCTAACAACAGTAAATCTCACGACTGATCATTATCTATGCGAACTTAATTATACCAGTTGAAACAGAATTAAATTATAATTTTTCTGATAATTGTTTAGAACTAAGAAGATCGAACGAATGCATTTCGCAGTATATTTCTGCATCTACACCAGTAATGTCGTCAGTCTCATATTGATAATTGCTTCAATATTCCGTCGCAAGCATCCTTCCCCGTTTTAATGCTTATTAAACTGGAAAAATAAAATTGCATCGACTGCATAATCTGAAAGAATGATGAAGAAAAAGTTTATAATTTTATTTTACTACTAGATTTAAAGTCGTAGTGATAATTTGCACAAACAATTTTATTTCATAATAGTGAATACACGATGATTTACCTTGGGTATGATTTTACGAGAAACTGTAAAAATTCCGCCTACAGTGATTCCCGGAGGATATTTTCCTAGTCTTTTCCTATAGGAGATTATCTGTAATTGATATACAAAAACACTTTTCCAATCATTATATCATAAACAGAGTATATAATAAGATATTACGACTTTTAAAAGTTTTCATAGTTTCACAAGTTAGAGTAATGGATAATTACCATTAATTTGTCGTTGACATTCTTCTGGTGGAAGAAAAGAAGTTCGAGTTGAAAACGAAATCGATGCATCTAAAAATAAAAATAATTTATTCGTTGATTCTTACAATAATAAATATTTTAAAGAAAATTTCGTGAAAATGTAATAAATACGAGCTAAAGATTTTTATCAATGTTTGTCTCAAGATTCATTTTTCATACTGAATCACGTTTCACAGATATTCAATAACATAGAAACCCAATTATAGTATGATGTACAAATATGTAACCGTGTACAAATGGCAACTACAGTCTTGAGATGTACTGACGACTCAAATAAGGTCTGTCACATAATCATTTTTTAATTTCATAAAAAAACAATGAAATATTTATTTGATTACTGTTATAATCATATCTATTATTTCAAATCATACATCAAAGCCCAGACTAGAATCCTATAGAAATCCTGTGGAACATATTAGTAAGAAAAGCGTATGCAAATCATTATCAATATTTTCATGTAATGAACTAGATATAGCGATTATGAGTGCCTGGGATGAAATAAAGGAAAAATCATTTCTAAAATTAGTTAATGCTAAACAAAATAAAGTTTATAATGTTAGTTTAAAAAGAGGAAATCCAATTGGTTATTAATTGACACGTTTCATTGATTAATTTTAAAAATGTTTAATGAAATACGCGGAAGTGTCGTATTTACTTCGGTTATAATTGTTTGGTTCTATTATACACGTGGATAAAGAAGAAACAGCACAGTAATCATTAAGATTCACAAACAAAATAACACATTAAAATTATAGAAGTATGTTAAACAGTATAGAAACTTGCGGATTTTGGTATCTCTGTTGCCAGAAGAGTTGAAAAAGCAAAGACAACGTTTGTAACGATTCCGCCATATATGAATGCATGTTTTACAATCTTCAATCCTTCACCGTATATACCAATATAGAAAATTGATAAAGTGATTGTTTACTGAAATAGATAATATGCTGAAATCATTGGACTAATTATTTTGTCCATATCTAGCAGAATGTCACAATACTGAGCATGTTTCTGAATTACAAATTGAAAATCTAATGGCTTTCTATCGTCAATGGCATCTTCCATTTTTTCGCGCAACGAGGACATGTTTTCATGTAGTGTGATGCCTATATTTAAAACGTTAAGATGGTGTATAGTTAACAACCCGACTCCGTACAGTATTTCCCACTGAGTTACAATGAAATGGAATATAATTTTATAAACATTCTCTTCATTTACAATAGATCCAAACATTATTGTGATAACTGTAAGCATAATCACATAAGAGAATATCAATATCAAAATAGTGTATTTAGTTAATTTATAATGAATGAATGCAGAACTTTCTTTGAAATTATCCAAGTATATTATGCACTTATCCAGAAGATTTGAATAGATTTTGGTGTTTTCGTTTAGAATAAATTGATTTGATACTAAACAATGGGGAGAGATATATATCATTTAGTAAGAAAATTGGAAATATGAAACATAGGTTGTTAGATTCATTTAGATTTATGTCAAGTAATTTAAATAAACTCTTCAGTCACTTGAAAAAAAAACAGTTAAGAAAAACAGCCAAGTTTTCTCCTAAACACCTATTAGATTTAGTAATAAGAAAACGTGTATATCCTTATCACTATATGGATCCGAAGGGGGGAATGTGAAATGAATAAACTTTCTCCAAAACAAGAGTTCTATAGTAAATTAAATGAATTTGATATAACAGATAAAAATTACGAACATGCAGAAAACGTATGGGAAGCATTTAAGATTAGAAATATGGGAAAATATTCAGATCTATATGTAAAATCAGATGTTTTGATACTAGGTTACATCTTTGAGAATTTTAGACATGTATGCATGAAAACCTATAAACTACATCCTGTTGGTACTATACATCTCCAGGTCTTGCTCGGGATGCAATGCTGAAGATGACAGGTGTAAGATAAGATTTGCTCTATAATTATGATATGATTTTGATGTTAGAAAAAGGAATAAGGAGTGGTATATCCCAATCTGTAACGGATATGGAAAGGCAAATAACAGGTATATGAAAGATTATGATAAAAACAAGGAATCTAATTATTTGATATATCTAGATCAGTGTTTCCCAACCGTTTTTGTGCTATGCCCCACCTAAGCCTTTCTAAAATTTTCATGCCCCCTAACATATACAGTGGCTATACCAGGCATGGCCAACATACGGCCTGTCTAATGAATTTATGTGGCCCGCGATTAATTTTCCAATATTAGCTACTCAAGTCCGAATAGCTCGATGAAAAATTCTGATGCCTAAAAAAAAAGGTCAACAACTCATTTTCAAATTGCCCCCTTTAACAATCGAATTGCCCCCTTGTGGGGCGTGGGCCCCACGTTGGGAAACACTGATCTAGATGCAAATAACTTATATGGATGGGCAGTGAGTTAATATTTACCTTATGGGGAATTTAGATGGTCTAATGAAAATATAGATGTGTGAGGTCAGCCGATTAGGGGTGAGGTGTTCGACAGCCGAGCGGTTCGTTCTGTCTTGTGGGCGCAGAATGACTCTTTGAGACAGGTTTACCATTTTTAACCCGTTTATTAAATATATAAATTTTCTTACAATGTCTTATAACGAGGCGTAATGCCTATTCAAAGGTGGGAAACGAATCCTTTCCAAAGATAAAAGTCCAAATGTCCAGATAGTCGTTTAGGTTCGTCCAGCGTAAGTGAAGCGGAGAGCGATGGCCCCGGGGCGCACAGCACAACTCTCATCGATGATCTCCAATGACTCGGAGCACCTGGGCGGGTCTTGAAGGGACGGGCTAGCCAAAACGAAGCCTGGGACGTCGA